CGTCAACTAAATTGGCACTTGCTGTGAGAAATTTCGAGTGAACCGTAGCAGTACTTCCAGCACCGGGTGGACTAGCGAATATTTCGCTGCCACTGCTGCGTATTTCAACTAACTAGCGGCAAAAGATGGCCACTGTCAACCACGATCCGCCGAAGCAATGTTTCTGGACAGTGACAGATGCCGTGCTTGCGTCCAGCTGTGTTACGTCCCAAATAATTTTATGACGCAGTCACGAACGTGTTGCTTCCAGAGCAATAGATGGCGTTGAACTTTTGTACCAAGATATAGCTATAACATTAAAACTGCCAAAGGTTGAGGTTGCATACGGCTCCAAAATTAGAGTTCCTTCACAGTCTTTCCGAAAAGGGTGGTTTCTAGTTCTACGTGAGTGTTTGGAATGCAGTCTCTGCTTTCGATGACCTCGAATATATTCTTCTATGAAGCGGTCGTTGTCAATATCATAACTCACGCACATAACGACTGTATTCTATATGCCGCTATACGGTCTTCGGTGGGTATTTCGGAATTGACAAGTTTCGAATTTGAAACATATTCGCGGAGATTCTTGCCGATTTCAGCGAAAAGAGCTTTTGAATCTTCATATTTAAGTAACGCTTTCTGCTCTGCCGGCGACCATAGACTCTCAACATAGATGCTCTTCGGCAATTCCTAAACAAGATTCAGTTTTGACGTTCTAATTCTGACACACGAAAGGGAGCCTAGTGGAACCGTATTGGTTAGCGTTCAAATGTGAGCTTCGCATTATTCCCCAACGATTGCCGTGAACTAATGCTCTAGTGGTGGCATGCCTTTCTGTATTTTGTCATCTACCAGTACCAATCTATCGGATATGAGTTTCAAGAGCAGGGTGACCTGTCCGACCTCCGACAAGATTTCCTTTAGCTTTGGGGCTCTTGATGGTTCTTCATTTGCTTCTCTAACTCATCTAAGCGTTGTAAGCGTCTAAAGAAGGGACCATAGCCGGGGCGAACTGATTCGCTTTGCTAGCAGCGAGCATGAGCATATTGCTTCATTGCTTTAAAAGATCTTTCTGCAAAGTTCCTGAGGTGCGAGATTTCGCCATCATCGTGACCTCAAGACTGTCATCCGACGTGAGATCACCGGAGCCTTTTCTCGAGCTATCTGCGGCAATTGGCACTTCCTTCCGAGTCGTCTTCGGTTTGTTGTTCGATCTGGTAGGAGAGGTGGAAGTCGGCTTGGAAGAGGTCGCTGTTGTCGGCCAGTAGTTCTTCTGAGGACGATTGTTTGCCCGAGTGAGAAGTCCTTGGCTGGTTGATAGAGCAGATGTCATGCTAGATGCTGTGCCAGAGCAGGAAAAAGACTACGAAAGCAATTGAAGAATACGAAGACGTGGCTTGATAGGACGAATACGTGACATGCGAGACGGGACGAAGACTGCAAGCGAAAAGCTTGTTGAGACTTACTTCTAGGAGTTGAGTTGATGCTATCCTGATCCTTTATTCGAATGGCCGATGCACCATATGGTAGTTTACTCGTGTTGTATTATCTGGCACGAAAGCCTCGATACGTCTGCTCGAGAAGCCGATTGAAATACCGTTCACCTCAAACTTGGGTAATTAAACAATGGCGGATTACAGCAATAATAAGAATGGGAATAAGAGGAGAGAGTAATGAGTGGGCCGCCGCCCAAGACAGAGCAAAGGAAGATAAATGCTCTACAGTGAGCACTGTCCTGTATTTATACGCTGGAGGGGGCGGAGCGAGCTGCCTGTAGATGAAGCTGCTGATAGGCATTGTTGACCTTTGGAGCAGCTCGATTAGCCACCAGATAACGAAAGTGAAAGTTACAATGATTAGTCATCGCTGAAGAGAGGAATAAGAGGCACATACAAATAGAGAATTGTACATACAATTTAAATGGAACGAAGAGTAAAAAGATAGATAGAGGATAGATAGATAGAGGATATCCTCTATAGGTGCTTCCAAATTTTTCGGTTTTAGTACACACGGAGTAGCGGCGTATGCCCCACAGTTATTGCAGTTGCTGCTGGAATGGTTACTCTTGACGCCTTTCCAGCAGCATCTTTTTTTTCGCCGAGTACGCTGACAGTCGTTCCGTTCCATTACCAAGGGGGATGCAGGATTGGTTTTCATTTGCAAAACACAAAACTGGTTTGCGGAGAAAGCTTTCAGCCTAAGCGCCACTGTTTCGACTGGCGCTTTAACTAGCGCCCAAGTCCGAGGTTTGGACGGACCTTGCGGGTTCTCTTTGCAAAGCGGCCTCTAAAAGGAGGCATTATATAGTATCAGTTTTTGTACTTTCCCTACGAAGAATGGGTCTCTGAATTGGTATTGGTAAATAACTTGGGGCAGTCCGTTTCATTGGCAGTTCTCGGACTGCTTCGATTGTTACGGTGCGTGCGGAAATGCGACTCCATTCTAGCGGGACCCTCAATGGCAGGAGGAGGTTACGTCATCGAGTACTAAACCGTTTACCTACGGTTCCACAAATCACATGTCTTAATAATTGGTCTGTTGCTTTACAACCTGATTAAAAATCAGTTAGTCATAAAAGGTGCACCCGGCAGGTTCTGTTGGCCAATGCCAGAACAGGAGTCCCGTATGGAACTTCTCTAATAATTGTTTTTTGACCACATGGGGGGACACTAGTTCGCCTTATATGGTACCCCGCCGAAAGCATTTGATAGACGAGGGCTTCGATTGCGTCAACACTCCGCGTAACTTTCTGCTTCCCTAGATGCAGCTTTGACATCCAGTAGTTTTTGCACGATCTCTGACTTATTTGCTGGCTTATTGCTACACCTTTTTGTTGAGTTCTGTCATTCCACCCTTTTATTGGGATATAGGTTGAGTGGCCCGGAAACCTCAAACTTTTACTTCTGTCGTTACCGATTGATTAAGAGTCCTTTAATAGTTTGAGTCTGTTTTCTTGTGGTTCTTTCGCATTGGTTGTACATTAGCGTAAGCAGGCAACTAGTTCACTACACTGGCTTGTGCAATGCCCGGAAGCAAACTCATTATCCTATGGGAAGCGCCATTTTTTGCGATTACACTTCGTATAGATATTTACACAATTTTTCACCTTTAAAATTTCAACCCTTTTAAACCAAGCTCACCCGCTTTTCAAGCGAATTCACGCCTACCTTTTTCAATCGAAGTTAACGCACACTTATTAGGGCGGGCAACTCATCAACCAGATCAGACATCACTGCGAGCCCCGCCCGACGGCCACGCCCACTTGTCAGCGCGGACATAGATTCTCAAATCTTGTTTCATAACTTCTGCTTTTGCTGTTTCCCACAAACACTTTGACTGGAAACCACCGTGCATTCACACATGGCCGACTCCGCCCATTCTCTAAAGGGTTTGGCACTCTCAAGGCTGACCACCCTACTGGCTTTTCGCGGAATTTCGATGTTTTTTTCAAAATTTTTGCATTTTAGGGTTGCTGCATGAAGCCCCGCCCACTGTGAGATGCTCCGCCCACTTTGAATAAGCATGCCCACTGTCTCAAATAAATGATGCAATCGGCGTGTAGAGACTTTTTTGGCTTCGCATGGTAGGCCGTTCGTACGTCACATCGGCATACAAGAAAAATCCGGCAAAAAGTTTTATTCCGGCAATTGAATTCAGCAATACCCCTCTAACCATGCAAAAGCAAGTCTCTACACCGCCGATTTGCATCATTTTTGAAATGCGGGCGGAGCATCTCACAGTGGGCGGGGCTTCACGCAGCAACCCTAAAATGCAGAAATTTCGAAAAAACTATACAGAGAAATTCGCGGAAAAAAGCCAGTGGGCGTGGTCAGCCTAGAGTGCCAGACCCTTTAGAGAGTGGGCGGGGCCATGTGTGAATGCACGGTGGTTTCCAGTCAAAATGGGGAAACAGCAAAAGCAGAAGTTATGAAACAAGATTTGAGAATCTATGTCCGCGCTGACAAGTGGGCGTGGCCGTCGGGGCGGGGCTCGCAGTGATGTCTGGCGTGATCTGGTTGATGAGTTGCCCGCCCTAATAAGTGTGGTTAAACTTTGTATTGAATAAGTGAGGTGTTGTTTTTTTAAGTGTTGTAATTTTTGGTTTGAAAAGGTTGATTTTCTTTTTGTTTGAAAGGGAGATTAGTTGAACAAGGGTATAATTTTAAAGTGAAAATGGTATATTTAGTTTTTCCGCAAGTGACGTAGCGCTGTTAACTACGGCTTTTTTCAAGAAGTGCGCGGACATTGTTCGATAAGAATTTTATGAGTTTTCGGCTATTAGGAATGTAACTAAATGCAAAGAAGTTGTTTAGTTAAGAGTACCTGTTCAGTGTTTGGTTTCTCGGTTCGGTGCACCAGAAATCTTTTTGTTGTAGTCAGTGCTGACTGAAAGATTATCTACGGGTCGGGTCGATCTGTCGGTATGTAATAAGCGATATAGGGTGGTCTCGATAGTTGTGGTCCATGGATGTATGGTTTTGAGACGGCTGCCAGTTCTCGATTGAGGGAGGGGTCACGCCTAAGGTTGGAGTATTATGCTGAGAGGTTCAAATCACACAAGTTAATTTCTTCTATATGCCGTAGGTATCAACCATTAAAGGATGCACCGGCAGGTTCTGGTGGCAATCTAGAACACGCTGCTACTGTGTGTGACTGCCAAATAGTTCGGTCTTTGCGATTGAAATACATTACCAAAACGAAAACAGTTTTGGGAAAATGCTGTATTAGGCACGCCTTCGCAATACCACATCACAGCGAGGGCTACAAGAGAGGTGCTGCCGGGCACTTGCATCAGCGTCTACATATTTAAAATGGAAGTGCAGTGGTCAAGTCAAACTAGCTAGGAAATGGCGTCTATCGGTTTCAGCGTATCTCCGTAACGTGATGTGAACTCTTTACATCAGACAAAAACGTTTGTTTTATGAAATTTGAGCAACACCTCCTCCCTTCACACCAGTTATAAACAATACCGAAGCGGCCAATATTTGGGTGCACGGCTATTCTTTTAGAAAAGCGAAATAATGGCAATGGGTGAAGCTAGAAGAGTACCGCACTTAAGTTAACGACTAGGAAGATGAGTGTATGATGTGCAATTGACGGCACCTATTAACGGTGAAAGACCCATTGTGGTTGGGCATTAAGCGAAACTGTCTGAAAACCACCAGCTGTATTGATTTAATTGCTAACCGCGTTTATAGTTCTCGACACCAGCGATTAGGTTGCTGAAGTCGCTTGACTTCGGAGACGTCGGGACTGGCGGTGAGACGGACAAGACAATCGTAACTTCTCGCGACCTCGCGCGCGGCTTATCACGCGGCGAGTTCCGATTATCGACTGAAGCGGCGAAACTCATATGAACTCAAACAGAGGTAACAGATATCAATGATGTGTGATACCTAATTGTCCCGTCCCTCTAAAAGTCATATTCATACGGCTGAGCAGGGCAACTCCTCTGTCAAGTGCAGCGTCGCTCGCCAGACCCGCCAGCGAAGCGTAATACGATTGTCTTGTCACAGGCCCAACTTGAGAGAAGGAAGTGTGGGCATTGCGAAAGCTTACGTATTTCAGATGATAATATACTGGAACTTGGGTACGGTCGCGGCAACGGACTGCAATACTGTTTCGATCGAGTGGTAGACGGAGATGGTGCGGTGAGTTGGTGAACTACTTTTACCTTTGTATTATTCGGGGAATTGGCCTGCAGCACTTCCAACCATCTGCCGTTTCCCTATATGGGATTCGTGTTTCTCCATTTGACTTTATGGTAGTGCTAGTCGGAGATGACTCTAGGAAAGAGTGGACAGTGCGATTAGGACTAGGACTTCGCACATGGGAATTTGATGATTGAGCTCGGTGAGGTTTACTGGTTTCAGGTCTTCGGAATTGAACGATCCTCCTACATGGAAGATTGCGCTAGACATCGATTTGCCCTCGAGTTGGCAGAAACGACGAATATTAGACTTGATCATGTGAGAGCTGTCTGTTTTCCTATTGCCGAAACCTTTCGAATTGCTCTTTTGCAGGCTCCTGACTTGCGGGATTTACCGTATCCTTCTGGAGTTTTCAATCACATTTTTCATGTGGATGTCTTTTATTTCATTAAACAAGACCATATGTTTGATATCTGTAAGGAACTTCGTCGAGTATTAAAACCTGGTGGTGCAATGGTCTGTGGAATGCACTTTGGTAGGTACGTGAATTTCCTCTCCTGATTACGCATGGGTTTTTTGACCGCATCATTACTCAGGCAAAACATGAGGCGGTAAAATATCTCCTCTGCTTGAACTTCAGAGTGCGAGAGTTGCGCCACAAATAGTTATAGTGTAGTTCGCTGCGGACGGTTGGGCGTGTCAGGCGGGATGAGTTTGGCGCGGTGCCAAACCCGTTCTCCACCAGTTGTTAAAGCGAGCAAATGATATGACTGTATCATATCGTTCGTATTACTCGTTTTCTACCACTTTTTGTCGCATGCGCGCTTCCACAAGAAGGCAGAAACCGGCTTTGACGGGGTGACACACTCATTCTGCCTGACCGCCCAACCAACCGCAACGAACGAGTTTAACATGGGGGACAACCATCCACGGAACTTCCAAGGCTGAACAACATTTTCCTCTCCGTGTTTTGAAGGCAAAGCTCGCCGATCATTCACCATCACACCTAGAGACCAGTACTCTTGATCTGCAAGACCTCAAACATCGAGCAGCTCCGGCAACGTCGCTACGGTCCAGGACATCATCTTCACCCCATTCACCAAGGCGCGGGTTGATGGTGTGGACCGGCCGTACCTGGAATGGGAAGACCGATATTTTCTTTGTAGACCCCGACTGAAGGTGAGCGCTGGCGGTTACATCAAGTAACTCGAGAAGGATATCCTCCCTACATGTGGTCGCCCGTACCTTCTTGGAGACCTTGTGCTGCTACAGGTTTGGGTGCCACCACATGGAATCGAAGGGTTTTGGAAAAACTCCCGCCTACTTCGAATGGAACCTGATGAAGATGTAATATTGAAATATGTCCCCTGACCTGAACCCACTCAATTACCTAGTTCGGGCGGAGCTCAACAGGGTGGTCTACAGTGGCGGAGAAATCAACGATCTCGCTCAACTCCGGTACCCACTCACTTTCGCGCGGCCGAATCTCTCGATGGCGCTCCTCCAGAAGGCTGTGGCGGAGTATCATTATAGTATTTAATGTGCTCTTTAATATGGTAGTAAAAATGTCCGATAAAAATTTAATAAAGTGTAACTTATAGCGCCTTGAAAGTCATGGAGGCAAAATGACTTTTTTTTTGGCCCCCCCTGTATACTTCGTTAAAACAATTTTCTTTAATTACTAGGCCATCTTTTGAAGACAGAACGCACGCTTACCTGCGAGGGTATCCTTGACATGTGCGGGCTTAACATGCCCCAACTGTCGAAGCGTAGTCCTTTTTCCGCACGAACATACGTATTGAAGCTCCAGGGTCGTGGAATAGGCTAATTGCTCCATACTCCGCCTTGAAGAGAAGTTACGCCGCAAACACGCTGCACAGCCAACCACGCCGCTAGCAATCCCGATTGCGTTCAATCCGAGACGTCCGCACAATGCGTGTCGCGCGGCGCCTCTGAAACTTTGCCAAGTCTTGTAATTCGCGTTTTCGAATGCGATTGAAAGGAACTAGCGGATGTGTAAGACGCCCAGAACACACGCAACTAAAGCGAGATTCATGACTGGTTCAAAAGGGAAAGCATCACAAGAATGCTCAATTATGGGCAGGGAACTTCACTCCAGCCGGCTCCAACATTCACTTCACGTTCCCCGGGCAAATGTGCTACCATTGCATCCTCAATACCGCATTGCACGCTCACAGTTCGAAAGCTTTTGTACCACAGCTTCACATCTCTTATAACTGGTAACGCTGCAGTCAGTAGAGGGGCTGTCAGAGGAGTAGGATGAGTCCGTCCCCGGCTGCCTTACTCTAGATCAGTTTGTGGTCACTTTTGGAAGAAAACTATCAGTAGTGGGAACGCCGTGGGTGGGCGACGTGGGCCCATTCTATTCCTCCTAGAACCGAATGATTGCAACGATATCGACTGCACTCATATGAAGTACCGAGCATTGACCGG